GAACAAATCAAAACACATTACTCATATAGGATATTGCAAACTTTTCTCTATTATAGCTTGTAAATTGAAACACATAAAAGTCACCTCGACTTATGATAAAATAGATTCTCAGTTACAAGTATTAATAAGATATCTAAATGCATTAATATCTTTCTGTAAAGTAAACAATGAATTAAACTGCATCTTTTAAGATAAACACAACAGTATTTGACATTATCCCGCAAAGAAAAGAGAGGGGGGAGTGTTAAATGTTAAATATAATCTAGAGACTTTTAATGTGTTGAGTCTCACTTGATAGCAGCTTTTAAGAATGAGGAACAGCCCTCCACACGTGTCTTTGCACTTCCAATGCTTTCAGAAAGCTGCTGCATGTCATCAACATCCCACAGGTGTTGCGGCAGTGCAACCCGAGGAAATGAGATATAGATTTTCTTGAGACGTTCTACCATTAACATTTAAAAATAGTTAGTAATAAGTACGACTGTTTCATGGTTAAATAATATATGAATCCAAATAAGAATTAATGCTTTTATGCAAGTCTATGATAAGTAAAAATTAAGAACAATTTACATCGCATCACAAATAATCCCACAAAAAGTAAAATAACGACTCAAATATAAAACTGCAGAAGAAAGGATAAAGAACGGACCAAGAATCTCCTCATCATAAGGAACTTTCCCTTTTCCTAATATCTCCACAAACAATAAAGCTAATTCTGCTCCACAGGTTACCTTCAATAAATAGGAAATAACTGTTACACTTTTCTGTTTGGCAGGTCTACTGAATGTCTTATAATATATGTATATTAACATCGGAAATAAATTTTAAAGTTTAATTTAAATTTAAATATAATGGAAAGGATCCTTTTTTTTCTCTCTTAATGAATTTTTTAATCTTTTTAAATGCATGTGAAGAGAGAAATGGTATACATTCATGAGATATAATCCTCTTATATCAATTAATACACCTAAGTACATATATACATACATACAAACATAGGAATGGGCCCAAGCCCATATGCAAAAAAGTATCTAACAGCATTTCAGATGTCTCAGATAGGCAAAAATACGTGATCTAGATAGGAAAAGTAACCAATCATGTTATATAATTCAAAGCACAGCTCACATAACAGCAGACAAAGGAAAAATGACGCAGAGGCATGGCCTTTGAAGCCATCACAGCTCCTCCAGCCCCCCACCCACCCACGGAAAAAAGGCTGATAGTAGAACATCAGAAATGAACAGTCTATAAATTACAATAATATAACAATATGACAAATGCATATCTTTAAAGACATTGAAATGGAAAATGTAAAACCTGCCCATTGGACAATTGAATGCACGTTCCTGAATGTAGGATATCTAATGCTTCAGAGTACCTCTGAGCAGATACATATCTGCAGCAAATAATGTATGCTACATTAATGACTACACCTTATCTGATGAGTATGCATTAGCAAATGGAGTTGTAGACCAAAATAGTAAAGCTTGAACAAAAGCAAACTGAGGTTCATAACAAGATTGACCAAAAAAAGGGAAAGCACATTTTACAGATAAATTAATTTAAATAGAGAAGCAAAAAAGATGTTCCAACTCCAAGAGCAGTGGGTAAGATGCACCATAAAAGAAACCACAAAATAGAAAACTATAATGAAATAGCATTTAACAAAGAATCCCATATGTTCTACGTTAGAAAATAACCTTGCCTTCTTTGCTCATAAAACTCAAGGGTGTGTTCAATAGAACAGCGAGAACAACTCAGGACAACCAATTAATTCACAGCACAATTTTCTATCCGTTACATTGTTTGATGAACAATGAATAAAACAAATTTAATAACACAGAGGAGTTAGTCCTTCCAATGTGATTTTAGTTTGGGTTTTCATCTTCCAGTGAAATCTCATTGACCATGACAACTATGCCCTCCCAAGAACTCCTTTAGCGACCTCACACAATGTTCTCTTTTGAATATCCTTAACCACCTCTTTTTCTTCAATCTGTTACATTTCCTTTATATTTCTTTTTATTTTTAATTGAATTATGCTCAACAACTAAGTTTTTCTAATTGGTATTTTAGTAGAATATTCACTACCCACTTTTCTTAGTTCCTTATGTTGAAGATTATGCCTCTTGACAACTTCATCTTGGCACTCTAACCCTTGAATTCAACCTTGTTAAAAAGGTGAGTAAGAGTGAACAGGTGGGAGAAGGATATGCGTGGAGAAACAATGAGAAAGTTACATGCCAAAGGTAGTGGATTCAATTTTGTTAAACTATATTTAAGAGAGACATTGAAATAAAACCATGTGTTTCTATGGCAGCATGAATGTTTCATTACATTGAGAAAACAAAATCAATATAATAAATTGAGTGATTTGATATCCTCTAATAATAAAGACATGATATGAAAATAAATAAAATTATTCCTAATAATATGTGTATAATCTAGATATTCTTCAATATATAGGATTTCTATAATTATAATACTCCACCTCAAACTAGGGAATAAAAGTCATATGTGCCTAGTTTGATTCAAAATATGGTCGATCTTTAGTCTGCTCCGAATCTTATTGGATATGTCAGTCAACTCTTCACTAGTGATTTCTCCAAACTCCATTTTTTTCTCATATGAAACAACAATCTATCTCAATATGTTTGATCCTACAATGTAAGACAACATTAGAGACAATGTATAATGTTATCTGGTTGTCACGTATAAGATGCATTTAGGAACTTCAAATTTAAGTTCTTTGATGAGTTGTTTTAATCAATGAGCTCACAAGTGACTTACATCATCGCCATGTCATGCTTTTGCACTTGATTTTACCACAACATTTGTTTCTTATTTTTTCACAATATTTAATTACTTCCAGCAAAAATACAGCACCTCAAAATGGAGTGCCTATCATTTGGTGACCCTTCCTAGTCAGCATCAAAATATCCCACTATTTGAGTGTTTCATTTATCCTCATTAATGAGGCCTTTGTCAGGAGCATTCCTAATATACTTAAAAATCCATATTACATCCCAATGGTCTTGACTAGGATACTTTAAAATTGACTTGCTTTGCTTGCTTCAAAGGCGATGTAAGATGACTCACAGTGAAGCAATTCACCAACTAACCTTTTATATATCCAAGGATTAAAATACAGTTCTTCTTGGACAGATAAGTTTAATACTCGGATCCATTGGTGTGTCCACAAACTTAGCATGTTTGTTGTAAAATGTCTAGAGCATATTTTCTCTAAGATGTGACTGAACTATCCTTAAACTGTGAAACTTATATACCCAGAAAATATTTCTCACGTGTCCAAGATCTTTTGTCTAGCACTTTTGAACAAAATATTGTTTTAGTAGGATAATACCGTTCTTAACACTACATATGATAACAATGTCATCCACGTATATAATGTGATAGATAAATCTTTGGAGAGAATGATGCTACAACAAAGAATAATTAACATCATTTCATATCATTCCAAATTGATAAATGACCATTCATAAACATCCAAACGATGCATGGAGTGATTGCTTGAAGCCATATGGAGACCTTTGTAGATGACATACCATATCAAAATGACTCTCCCTATGAAACAAATTCAAGAGGATGCTCCATTTAAACTTCCTCATCTAGATCATCATGTAGAAATGCATTTTTTATGTCAAACTGAAATAGAGTCAAACGATGAATGGCTACAGTGGAAAAGAGAAGACAAATAGATGTAATTTTGGCAACAGGAGATAAAGTGCCATTATAACTTTTGCCATAGATTTGTGTATCCTTAGGCAATTAAGCGAGCTTTATAGTGATCACATTTTATCATTAGGTATCGTTTTAAGAGTATACAACCATCAATACCCAACAATTGATTGGCCAACTAGAAGAGGAACCAAGTCCCAAGTACCACTACTTTGAAAGACACCTCTCATTGATCATTGTTTGCCGCCACTCTAGGTGAGTTAAAGCTTCACCAGGAGACTTAGGATTAGTATGTGTGTTGTATCCCCTTACATTTTAGCAAATTAAACAGACCTTAAATCCTAACAAACTTAGAATTCATCAAAACAAAACATTGTTTTAGTTTACACTGTCTAGCTACCCCCAAAAAATAAGTATGTTATGAAAATTTATGGTATGGCTATCCTCTTCACCAATGATAAAAATTCCTTTTCAAGAGCACCAAATGATGAATTATGCCTCGCTATTTTACTAATCTGCTATCCCTAGCTTGTATCTTCTTCTACATATACTAGATTCGTAAAAAAATGCAGTAGTAGACGAAAGAAATAGCTACTCAAAAATAAATTACTTGCGATTTAAAGTAGCAGTTCACGATGAAGATCGAATTAAGAATATAAAATAGACGGTGTACATTTTCTCTTGAAGAATAAGTAACACGAAGACAATGTACGAACCTGGCACTAATGGATTTGTACATTTGCTGAGCTCCATAATAATTTCCCTCATTCACAACCTTCTCCAATTTTTCAATATTCTGCACGTCCCAAACGCAAGAAACTTGATATTTGACAAAAAAACATGTAATGAAGCATAGAAAGAAAAAACCTCAGAAAGAAACCTCAAAAATAAAAAGGAATAGAAAGTATAACCGTTAATTTTCAACCAATGCAACGGTTCATCGTCCAGGAAAAAAACATACAGTTTATTTATTATGAAAAAAGAAACAAAAAAAAAAATCGTTTAGAGGAATCTTGAAAAGGAAGAAGCAAAATCGAAGGATCGCAGATTTTGCTTACCTCTTGAGCGGGAGGTAGTTCGACTCTTCTGGATCTCTGTCGCGACATGAGGACGACGCACTCTTCGTGCTTTTGCCAATGAAAAACTAAAATTGGGAAAAAGGAAAAAAAATGATTATTTATAGAAAGACTATTCGGAGAAATTTGAGTTCTTTAGGGACTAAAGTGAAAATAAAAAGTTTTGTAAAACAACCTTTCTGGTCAAGGGATAAGGAATAATAGGAAAATTGCGGTGTGAGGAAGATGAGTAGCAGAGGGTTTTTGAGAGGAGCTTCGTTAACTGCAAATGCAGTGTGGCATCGAAGAAGTTTTTTCCCAGCAGTAACGGTTAGCGTCCACCACCGGAAGTTGTTCAAGTTTCAGAGCTTCTCTTCAACCACCACTTGTTCCTCTCTTCCACCTCCGGATTTGCCTCGTTTGGCAAAAACTGCTCAAATTTCACTTACCCCAACTGAGGTTTTGCTTTGTTTTATGTTATTTCATTTCCTTTCTAACTGTAAATACACTTTTTATCTGAATTTCAAATGTTAAAAAAAATGTTATTGCAGGTTGAAGAAATTGCCCCCAAAATTCAACAAGTTATAGACTGGTAAGTCAAAACTCTCTATGTCGTAACACTATTTAATCATATATATTTCACTTCATATTAAGGAGATTCGTTAGTAATTTCATGGTTTTTAATAAATTTTGATTGATAATATGGAATAACACTGATAGTTAAGAAGAATGAGATAGGGAGTGTGTTGCTAACCTGAAATTTGGATTCTGGAGGCTTTTTAGTTGGTTTTTGAGGACTAGCTGTTTGTTTCTTACTGGAGTTTTGGTTGTATTTGTGGAGATTATGCTTGCAGTGAACAAAACTTTTGAATTTGGATTGACTTGTATTGTGTGGCAGGTTTGGACAACTACAGGGAGTTGATCTTGAAAACGTTGAACCCTCCATCAGAGCAGGTTCTTTGTGAATACTTATCATTGCTTTCATCATCTATCCATGATTTCATATCCTTACTTTGGATTTTCTGTAATTTGATTGCACCATACCTTGATGCCAAAAAATGTTTCGAAATGCATAAGGCAAATTCTTTCATCTTCTTTTTTCGTTGTGGATTTGGGAGGGCTGCAAATTGTGATTGCAATACATTCTTTCAGTAGAGAATGCATTGTTAGAGTGTTTTAGTTTGATGCCAATGCCGTTTCCAAAGGCACATTAAACATTAACCCCACTCTCAAACTGAATATGGCGTTCAATCCAATGTTATCAATGGCGGATGGTGAAGAGCTAAAATTCTGCCATGTAAGCATGCCATTGCGGCCTATTGCATCGCCATTTACAAAATGAATATGGTGATTGGCAAAAATCCACCCTGCATGGAGATCATGGCACTGCCATTTAACAACATTGGTTCAATGTGAGCAAGCAAAAATTCAAACACAAGCTTGGTGTCTTTTTCTTGGGGTTGAGAACCTGGGTATGCTAGATTGAATGCCAGGAACTAATTTCTGATCCATTTTAGTTAATATCTCTCCCTTTTTATACATACATACATATATACATACATATATATATATATATATATATATATATATATATATATATATATATATATATATATATATTGTTGCACTATATTGGTACGCCGCCTTAGTAACTAGTCACTGGGAAATGACGGTGATATTTTTGTGGGAAACAGAGGTTAAACACCCCAAAGAAAATTCACATTAAAACCCACATGGGTATGAGATGCAAGATACCTCAACTAAAATCTCTAACAGGCAAAAGATGGAACAGTATAAAAACTATTAATCCTATTAAGCTAAATACCTGGCAAAAGTATCAGTGACCTGATTGACATCTCTTAAAGTATGAGACTGGAATGAATGTGACAGGGATATTGCTACCTTGTACCAAAGCTAATCAATACCTTGGCAAATGAACATATTATCCACTTTCTAGTCATTGCTTTCTTAAACTTCAACTTGGTCATGCCAATCTGTTTAAATTGTGCTAATTGCCTGGGGTGGTTATCTTTTGTCTATAACTTGTCATGAACAACCAGGAGGAAAACGCTATATCAGTTGACATGTTAAAGTTATTTTCAGTTAATGTGTTTTCTACACCTTTTTATGTTCATTGGTTCTTTTACATGACTGGCAGAAAGCATCGTTGGTCATTGGTTTGACTTCACATTTTTTATTGCTAACTCTTTTTGTGTTATCTGTAGAAACTGAAAACAATTTGCGTGATAATGCTCCTGAAACATTTGACAATAGGTGAGTGGGTTATTGTTCTTATTCAGTACATGTCAATTGGACATAACTGGAAAACTAACGGTGCTAACATGGTGTGTGTGCTTGACAGGGACGCCATGATCGCTTCTGTGCCGAGCTATGAAGAGCCTTATATTAAAGTTCCGAGGGTCTTAAGCATGGACTAAAGTTAAAATTGCTTACATGAGTTATTTGGTATAAGGAAGAACACATTAAAATTGCTTTTGCTGTACTTTGAATCTCTTGGTTTCTTATTTGACCCAACTCTTCTTTTGGATTTTTTGAGGGAATTTAGTTCGGCTTGTGAACTCTGCACCTGCACTGAGTTTAAGTCATAGTCATGTGACTACAATAAATATACCCATCCATACCTACATGTATACTGATATACATTTTCATTCATGTACAAAAATAATTCCTCATACATATGGGTTTTCAAAACAAAACAAGATATAACATGTTTATAGCAATAAATAGCTGGAGATAAAGCATTTGATAAACATCTCCAAGAAAATACATCTCTAAGCCTAGCACTAGGTCTATTCAACTTATGTTTTAACATTGCTTCTTGTGTCCAAACATTATCATTATTATAATTCAAACAATGATATATAAAAATGGTAAGCTATTAGAAAATAAGAAAGTTATATGCTATAAAGCTCTTAAACTATTATGATGCACAGCGCAAATATTTTATAAATAAATAACTAACACTCATTTTCTACCAAAGGCATCACATTATCATTCAAACATTTAGAAGACTAATAGGCTAAAAAAGTGACATGAAGAAAGAAAAATACCATAAACCAGGCGTTATATTATTATTGTTACTTTTTTTTGGTGAATGACTAAGTTGTGTTAGAAAACATAACTATTTACTTTTACTTTTGAACTATATTTTTTTGTTTACGATACTCAACCATAATACTTTAGTTAAAGAAATTAAACCACTATGATCAAACTAAAGACTTATTTATTTAATTATTACTTAATGTATTGACTAAATTTAGCATCTGGAGTAAGATTTTTTAAATACATTTAGGATCAAGAAAATCTAAAACGCAAATGATGATTTTTAATGAATTTCAATTAAATGAGAAATACAAAAATAAAGTAGTATATCAAATGAAAAGTGTTTGGAACGAAAACATGATATGTTATTCATACATAGGATGTTTATGAAACATTTGAAAGAAAAAAAAATAATGAATTTGAATATGTTTGAAAGAAAAAAGTTGTCCCTGAAACATATTCTTTACTAATCTTCACTGGCTCTGTAAGTTTGAAATGTAAATTTTTCTTTCCTTTTTTTTCTTCCCATACAATATTTTGTGATAATCTCTTTGGAAGAGAAAGTACCTTTCGTACTGCTTTTTGTAAGCATTAGGTTCAAAGAAACATAAATGGCTGCTCCAATATAATCTTCATGCTTGAGAAGGACTCTAGTGACTGCAGATATTTGTAGTGCATTTCTGTGTTACAAAGTTTTCGATCACTTACTATAGTGCTATTGAACCATCTTCTTCAATCACAATGATGGCTCTCACTCCAACAAATAAGACTTAACATTTCATTAAAGTTTATTTCATAACTCTATTAATTTTACTTACTGCATTTCTTTTTAACAATTTTTACTTATTAGGGACATGATGGCTCAAGCTTTGCTAATGAACTATTGAACTTTTTTTTATGACTATCAATTAAAATAAAAGTGTGTCTTCAACTTAATAATGTTTCAGAAAGTAGAGTTAAGTATAAAAACTAAATTAACAGTATTTGTATTTATCTGTCTATAAAATTATTTTTGGAGTAAGAAGTGATGTTAATGTCAGCACTAATTGGTGATGGTGTCAATTTCTATTAGAGACTTATCTGTAATGATGACAAAAATTCCAAGAAATCTCAATCTAAATCTTATCTTTTAATGGATGTTGATAACAAGACTTTTGCATCTATTAGCTAAAACTTGTTTTTTTATATAAAAAAAGTATTTTTAATAAAATAAAATAAAAATAGAGTTTTATGTTTTCTTTAGAAATAACTTAAAGTTGTTTCTCATAAAAGATCACATGAGTGGAAGAGATGAAATCACTTTTAATTAAAAAAAATCACAATCACATATATCATCTGTTGCCCAAATAAAATTATGTAGACATAAACAATTTTTAACCATCATTTATACTTTTAACATCTCATTTTTCCTACAAAGACACAATCATCCATAATGCATCTTTCAAATAAAGATATATTAATGAACATTTACATCTCTAAAGTTTTTGTTTTATCTTTAGAATATAAATAGATTATGTGTATTATTATATGTAATGGCTTTAACGGCAAATTAGGTGTATGTTGGTAATGATAAAATGGATATGAGAACATAGATTTGTTTGGCAATAACTTAGTGGGGAGTTAGTGGAAAGATATATGGCTAAAAATTATTCATGGCCATTTAAGATTTAAAAGTTACAGTTCCTTGACTTATATATATATATATATATATATATATATGTTGAAAGTGATTGCCATGATCGCTAAGATCAAGGAGAAACAATCATGCTTTGTTTTTCACCCAATTCGATCTGTCTTTTTATGTTACAGAAATAACGCCAAACCTAAACCTATGACATCGTGTGCTTTCTAAAAACCACTATGCCATGATCGAAAGGGACAACATGTGAACAAAATTTATTGTTTCAGAAATTTAGTAAAGGCTATAACTGGATTTATCTAAATGTAGAATATTTTAACGAAATTGCAATAAAATTATGTATGATATTATTTAACAATACATACCGTAAATATTCAATAATAATTAATTTAGAGATAAAAAATAATTGATCATTGTATTAACTAAGTTAAACATTATTTTATAAACTAAAATTTATATATATCTAAAATAATCTTTGTTATTAATAAAATTTGTGAATCAAAATTTAAATTAGTTTCTAATTATTTAAGTTTTAGTTACTTATTATAATTATATTACGAATTAGAGACTAATTTGGAATATAAAATAATAAATATTTAAATTTTTTATAATAAATGTTAAGATTAATTTAAATTCTTGTTTACAAATTAATTTTTTTTAAATAAATACTATTTTTAATATTAATAAATTTTAATTTATAAATTAGTATTTGACTTAATTTAGAGACTGATTATTTTTTATTTTTAAATGAGTTTGTATATAATGATTTTTTTTACTCATATATGAAAATACATGTAAAAAGGAAGAAGTTTATAATCACTTATATATTAAACAATTATTCTAAATGGCATATATGATATAATTTTAACTTGTCTTATTTCAAAAGTATTATTAAGATCTCTAAAAGAAATATTGTTTTCTTTTACACGAACACTAAAGACAAAATATAATTATTTAAAATTTTGAATTAGGACTAAAATAAAAAATCTCATATTTTAGAAGAGTAAAAAGAGTATTTTTTTTTTAAGGATAAAAACTAAATGATTGTTTTTAGTAGGAACCAAAATCAAAACCTCCTAATCTTATCAAGATTAAAACTATATTTAAGATTTTTTTTTAGAAAGATTACAATAAATTTTGAATATAACTTCTCACAAACTTTAAACATAACAGCGAAGATATGATAAATTATTGATCAAATGCAAATTTAGTCCATTTTTATGTTTAACACTAATAAGGTTTAAACCCGGCACACTCCTACTTTAGTGTTTCAATTTTAATGCTTATGTTTGTTTTATCAACAAAAGTTTGCTCATTAAGTTCGTTGTACTCTTACATTTTATAAGAAATAATTTTGCTGGGAGAAATAATCTAACACATCTTATTATTTGAACACTTTTTCCAACAAAAGATCAAATGTTTTATTTATCATCTGGTGACTGGTTAGATCCAATTTCCATCATTATTTACTTAATCTGTTTATTCATTTGGTGGCTTAAGTTCAGTTTATCATGATATATGTACAATCGAATATCAGATTTAATATTGATTATATACACTAACTAATTATTTAGTACTGACGAATAAATTTTAGAGATCATGAACAATTCATGACAGTAAAATAGAAACCTGAAAGACATGGAAAATGACAACAAATTTAAATATAAAGTTATTCTGTGTAACATGCATCATGCAGCTTAATTTCTTATAATTACAAAACAACAAAACATTAAGCAATTCATGTGTAAGAAAATAAACCATTTTATTTATAAAAAAGTTTTGCATCTTAAAATTCTACACTCGGAACCTCTTAACCTTCCACCATTCATTTTTCTTTTCATATATAACATAGTAATTATAGATATAGTAATGTTATACTCTATCACATAGCTAGCTATATATCTTTATATATATAGCTCCATGTTACAATAATTTACCCATGGTTGCTTTTGCTCTTAGATGCCGATGGAATCCGATTATTATCACCACCACCATTTCCTCCACCGTAGCCACCGCCACCAGAGTTCCCCGAACCATTTCCAGACCCATAACCACCGCCACGAGCACCACCACTACCCCAGCCATATCCATATCCGGAGCCAGACCCAGAACCGGATCCATATCCATATCCATATCCTCTGGCAAAACCAGTGGGAGAACGACCCGAACCTGATCCAAACCCATAGCCGGTGCCGGGTGCGGAGCCCCATCCCCAGCTGTATTCCCAGTTTGCACCACGGCCAGAACCAGTGCCCCCTGTGGGGTTTCCGGAGGACGGTGCACCGCCGCTTGACATGTCGAAAAGGAGCTTCCTTCCGCCGGTTGCTGCTGTGGTGGAAGTGACGAAGAAGAAAAGAAAGAGAAGAAAGTGCTTGAGACTGTGATTGTGCTTTAACATTTTTGTAGTGGTGGTGTTTTATATGGTGATTATGAGAAGTTTTTTTTTTTTTTGGTGGAAAAAATAGAGTTTGAGGACTCTCTTTTTCTCTGACACCTACCTTAGAACTGTTTTCAAGAAGAAGTGATGTTAGGGTAGAGAAAGAGTGAGGGAATGTGATTCTTGTGAGGTTTGACGAAGGAATGCATTGTGCATGAAAGTGCTTATATAATGGTTTGCAAGAAGATGATGATGTTGATGATCTTAAATGAGATATGACTCACAAGACTCACAACCCGTGATCTTCACTTAGTGCATTCTTCCACTTTTTCTTTTTACTTGCTTTTCATTTTTTATTCAAAGAGATAACTACTTTTTTTTTTCGTTTATCTGAATATTACAGTAATAATAATATAGAGTGTCAAAACTAATTGTGTTCGAGAATGAAAGATATGAGTGGTTGGAAAGGAGAAACATGAGGTGATTTCCACCACCGACTTTCCGGTAATTGATGATTCTAAATACAAGTTGTCACGCTACCATTAGTGTCATATATCGGAAAACCTGCAACATCTTTTTCAACCTTTTCCCTCTCTATTCTGCTTCTGGTATATGGTTTTTAGATTGTTACCAAAACCATCTTTCTCCTCTGTTTCAAATTTTTGGATAAATTGAGTTGAATTGGACCTAATGAAGTGAAGATTGTCATTCCAAATACTTATGTTTGGTCACTTGGGTAAACTTCTTTTTATAGGCTTTTCATTTTGAAAATGTTTTAGATAAGCTAAGTCATGACTAACCTCTCCTGTGACATTCTTCAAGTGAACCAGTATTTAGTGGACCTATGGGATCATTGCCAAATCTCTATCGCTTCCAACTTTATTCTAACCATTTCAAACATCACACAATCATGCTGTCAATACAATTTTTTTAAATTACTTTGTTAACTTATTTTCTCTATTAGACAAAGATGTTGTGGGACACTGTTTTTAAGATTTTCTCGATAAAAAAATTAGATGTGTGTGAGAGAGAGAGAGAGAGAGATACTTTTTTTTTTTTTATATTTGTGAACATATTAATTAATAAACCAAATATATGCTTTCCACAAGCCATCTTTTATGGATTAATTTTTGTATTATGTGAAATTTTAAGTATTTGATCTACTTTAAGGATTTAAGTTTAATATAAGAGTATTTATTAGGTTAGGTTGCTCAATGATTTTAACCTGATTCAATTCAATCATATTGAGTTGAGTTCTATTTACGATTGAGTCAAATATGAGTTAATCAAACCTAAATTAACTCGATTTTAAAGGAGTTGGTTAATAGATTTAGTATGGATGATCTAATATCAATCGGATACTTACTTTTATACTTATATGGACAAATTTAATCATTTTTTTATATCTAAATTGTCTAAATAACATTTTTTAATTTTGTGAGATTGAAAAGAGTTTGGTTAAGAAGTATTTTGATCGAAAAACAAAGACATCCTTATCAAAAAGAAAAAAGGTGATTTGAAATAGCTTTGACCCCTGAAACTTTTTTATAGCTTAAAATGAGAGTGTTGCTTTCTTCCTTTATTTGTTAAGTGAATTCTTGTGATCTTCTCAGATTGGGTTGGAGGGATGTTATCCTTTACATATAGGGCATGATGTGCTAAATATCTCTCGTTATAGACAGTTTAGATTTGTTTCTGGGTGGAGTTGTGGGGATACCCTTATAGACGTGTTCCACCCATTACTTCTGTCTCGTAAATATCTGCCTCTGCTTACGCAACCGTGTCCCTCTTTATTAGCCTAATTCATCATATATTTTCCAACATCTATGTTACATTCGACTAAATCATGTTTTAGAGGATGTAAGTCACTTCAAAATTCATTAATGTATTTTGGTTTTTAATTCAAAAGTATTGTGCGACTATATACATATATAATTTATTCAGTTGTATTAGCATGATGTATAAATATAAGATTAATTTAAAAGCTTTAATATCTGAAAAATATACTTGTTAAATAGATGAAAATGAAAAATTTCATGAGTTTCTTTATAACTTGTAACTCAAGACTAGACCCAATTCTCGTTGTTGTATGTTCGGTATACACACTGTCGTGTTTATTTTTTAATATTTTTTAATTGAGTGAGTGAGTGCCTGTTGGTCACATGGAAGCATGTGAGCGACAAAGTTGGGCTACTTTTTTTATACAGGCCCACTTTAACAAGTTGATCCATGTTTTGACTTTTAGGTCTCCTTGGGCCCATTTCCACTGCTAAGTGCAACAACTTACTTATGCCAGTTGCAAGATTCTTCAATCCACTCCCCAAGTGGACCCAGATAGAGACAATGGCCCAAACCACGTGCGCCAGTACAAGATATTTTCTAAGGGGACGTTACTTCGGAAATCGTCTTCAATTTTTTTTTTCACTACTTGCTGATTTTGACAAAATAATTAATGAAAATTCGTTATGTATTATCAATAGAAATTGTAACATAATTCATAACTACTATTTTTTAGAAATTTGGAAAAGATTCTTCACAAATTAAGAAATAAAAAATTATTTTCTAATTTTATATTAAGGTGTATTATTTCGAAGTGTATTTTTCCATTGTTATATATTCATTTTATTTGAAAGTATTTTTTATTTCTTTCTTGGAAATTAAACATACTATAGTGTTGGATGGGATACAGAAGAGCCTTGCCGGTGATAATTGGCACATTTGTGGCACTTGCCCATGTTTCACAACATATGTGGATTGTGGAGTATGGGAATGTATTGGTTGATTTTGTGGAAATGTTAAAGGTGGAATTAAAGGGAGAAAAAAAAATGATGATACTAAAATATCTCTAAAGATTAGTCTTAGATTCATGATAAAATAATATTTAATTAAAAATATCATTCATGTGTAATTTTCCGATGTCAAAAGGAAAACGGAAAATGAATTCATAGCCCATTTACGTTTGTTCTTGAACCCTAGAATAATAGAGCACTAAACTATTTGTATAATATTCCTAAATTTTTAGTTGGATGATTATCATCTTCTTACAATTGAATTAAACAAACATGTGTTAGTCGTTTTCTAGGTTTGAAACTCGAGATTCCCGAAATTTAAATCAAAAGATTCAATACAACTTTAAGGAGGTTGCTAAAAAGTTGGAGATTTTTTTAATTAGTTTGTCTTTAATGAACCTTTGTCAATGGTCCAGTCTTAATAACTCAAAATATCAAATGCTTGTTAGATGGAAAATTTACATCCATAAAATTACGTTTAGATAAGATTTTCCAAGTAAGTTTACAAAAGTTAAATAAATTAAAAGTGGTTTACTAATAAGTTATTTTATAAATATATTATATTATTTTTTTAACATGTGTATAAACTTAATTTAGTTCATGAAAAAATATTTTTTGTTTTTCAAATCGTCTCTTTCTCAATCTAAGTTAGGTGAAAGTAAAAAAATAAGTATGATAGATAATGACACAAAAGTTGATAGAGAATGATAAGATATATCTTAATTTTAGTGTGTTTATGGTGGGATGAAGGTGTTTGATGGTTCTCTTGAGATGTAATACTAACTTTGGAGAAAAATGATTAGAAGAGACCACATGAGATGTTTTGGCATTGACTTAAGAAAAGAAGATATGGTTGCACAAACATTTTGACAACATAACATTATAATTCTCAAAGTGGTTTTACAATGGAGGGGACAGTTCTATTTATAAGAGAAAGGGTCTCCAAAATATAAAAATACAAAACCCTAAAAATATTACCTTGATGCAAACCCGGAAAAAATTTCATCTTATTAAAAGAGGAGATGACATGTGGGATGTCTTCCTAATGTGTCATGTGACCACTCCTAAAATATTATGTTATCACTATTCTTGGAAAAGTTTTTCTAAAATATTATGTTATCACTATTCTTGGAAAAGTTTTTTGACTATAATTATGACACATAACCCCTTCTCCTAATGTAGGATGCCTCCTTTTTTCTTTGTCCACCAATTTAGGTTACAAACTTAATCATCAAGATTAATTAATCCAGACACAAGTTGAGTAATCAAAAATCCTATACTACTTTACTCATGATATTTATAAGTAAAACAAATCTTACACTACTTCACCTTTAATATAATACTTAAATATTCTTAATCTATTATAGGAAAAAAACTTTGTTCATCTTTTATTTATATATATATATATATATATATATATATGGGGTTTGCTAACGCGCGTATGCCTGTTTTTCAGTTGGTACATTTTAGCAATGTGTACCGGATTTTAGTAGACAAAAATACCCTTATATATCATGGATTCTAAGTTTTAAGGTTAAGGGTATTTTAATAATTTTCATTCTCAAAACTAAAAAAAAAACCTTACTCACCTCTCTCATTCATCTCAATCCTTTCTCTTTCATCTTTCTCAGTCCAATCTTACAAACAATCTTACAAGCAAATGTTTTTATATCTCTGTCATCCCTACTGTAGCCCCAATTGAAAAAATCAGAAACACTTGCCTTTAAACAATTTGTCTTTCTAAAGAGTTGAGTCATTGACATATTCACCTTGAGGCGAAGGTTCATTCAAGATCTCTTCAATTTCACCATCTTCACTAATTTCTCTAATTTCATCATCTGCATATGTTGAATCATCATCTCTAAAAAAACCCTCCAGGCCAGTTACCAATTCTTTCGGATGTTATTATGCTTGTGAAAATTAGACAAAATTAGATAAGACAAAAATTATAAGATCAAAACTCATTATAAAATCATTTTTTTGTAAGATTGTTTAACGCAAGTGTTTCTGATTTTTTCAATTGGGGCTACAATAGGGTGTTTCTGATTTTTTCAATTGGGGCTACAATAAGGATGACAGAGAAAAGATTGGAGTGAGAAAGATGAAAGAGAAAGGGTTTACAGGAATGAGAGATGTGAGTAAGGGTTTGGGGGTTTCTTTTTTTTTTTTTTTTAGTTTTGAGAATGAAAATTATTAAAATACCCTTAACCTTAGAACTCAGAATCCATGGTATATAAGGATATTTTTGTCTACTAAAACCCGGTACACATTGCTAAAATGTACCAATTGAAAAACAGACGTACGCGCGTTAGCAAACCCCTATATATATATATATATATAAAATTCTAACTATTTTTAAGTGTGTTTGGACCATAACCCATATATATAATTCTAACTATTTTTAAGTGTGTTTGGACCATAACCCGCCATTATTTTATCTACTAAAAGCTTATATTTGTACTTTAAAGCTTTAATATTGAAATTTTTAAATGATTAGTTAAGATATTTATTAAGATAAAATTAAAATTCATAATGGGATAATAATGCTTATGAACATTATTTATAAAAAATTAATAGTTTTAAAATATGATTAGAATAA